GCAGCAGTGATCAGTGAGATGCTTGGCTATAAGTTGAACAGCCACAAGGAACAGTACCCTCCATGGAGAAGGAGGCTAGAGGGCAAGATCAAAGTAGCACAGAGGGAAGTTAGCCAACTAACGGAGTTGCAGAAAGGTGCGACAAAGAAGGTGCATAAAAAATACAGCAAGCTGTCCATACTTGAGGCCTTGGAAACTGCCAAGCAAAGATCCACAGCCTTGGCCAGCTGCTTGAGGAGGTACACCAGAGAGATAGAAGGCAGGAGAATAAACCAGCTGTTCTCCACAGAACCAGTAAAGGTTTACTCTTCGTGGCAAGGGAACAATAAGACAACAGCACCACCAAGGCTGGAGACGGAGCAATACTGGAAGAGCATATGGGAGAAGGACGCAACCCATAATGGTAATGCTCAGTGGCTAGTGGATCTGAGGGCAGACCTTTGCAACCTCCCTGAACAGGGTCCAGTAACCATCTAGTATGAAGAGTTGGACAGCACCAGGCCCCGACATGGTTCACACCTACTGGCTGAAGAAGCTGACTGCACTCAACAAGCATCTGGCAGCACAAATGAACCAGCTGCTAGTTGACAAGAGTCACCCAGAATGGCTAACCGAAGGTCGGACAGTCCTGATCCCCAAGAATCCCAAGAAGGGACCGGTCCCATCTAACTACTGACCAATAACCTGCCTCAGTACTACATGGAAACTCCTGTCAGGCATCATATCGGCTAAGATGAACAGGTACATGTGTCAATACATGAGCGGGGCACAGAAAGGGATTGGCAAGAATACCAGAGGCGCAAAACACCAGCTACTGGTAGACAGAACAGTCAGCCGAGACTGCAAGACCAGGCTGACCAACCTGTGCACTGCCTGGATTGATTACAAGAAGGCCTATGACTCAGTGCCCCACAGCTGGATACTGGAATGCCTAGAATTGTACAAGATCAACAGGACCCTAAGAGCCTTCATCAGGAACTCAATGGGGATGTGGCGTACAACACTAGAGGCCAAATCCATCCCATAGCACAAGTCACCATCAAGTGCGGGATCTACCAAGAAGATGCTCTGTCCCCACTGCTGTTCTGCATAGGCCTGAACCCCCTCAGTGTGATCAATAACAAGACTGGCTACGGATACCGACTACAGAACGGAGCAGTTGTCAGCCACCTCCTGTACATGGATGACATCAAGCTTTATGCCAAGAGTGAACGAGACATCGATTCACTAATCCACACTACCAGGCTATACAGCAATGACATTGTGATGTCATTCGGGCTGGAGAAGTGTAGTCGGAAGATAACAAAGAGAGGGAAGGTAGTCAGAACTGAGGGGATCGAGCTACCAGAAGGCAACATTGCAGACATAGAGGACAGTTACAAGTACCTGGGGATCCCGCAGGCGAATGGGAACCATGAAGAGGCCGCTAGGAAAGCTGCAACCACCAAGTACCTGCAGAGGGTCAGGCAAGTCCTGAGGAGTCAGCTGAACGGTAAGAACAAGATCTGGGCTATCAACACCTACGCCCTGCCCGTGATCAGGTACCCAGCTGATATAATAAGTTGGCCAAAGGAGGAGATAGAAGCCACTGACATAAAGACAAGAAAGCTCCTTACTATGCATGGAGAGTTTCACCCCAAGTCCAGCATCCTGAGGCTGTACGCTAAGTGGAAGGGGGCCGGGGACTGGTCAGTGTCAGCAACACAGTCCAGGACGAGACAAAGAACATCCAAGAATACATTGGGAAGATGGCCCCAACTGACCGAGTGCTCAGTGAATACCTCAGGCAGCAGAAACCCAAGAAAGAGGAGGGAGACAAGGAACCATCATGGAAGGACAGGCCCCTGCATGGTATGTACCATCGGCAGATAGAGGAGGTGGCTGATATCCAGAAATCCTACCAGTGGCTGGACCAAGCTGGACTGAAAGACAGCACAGAGGCACTAATCATGGCAGCACAAGAACAAGCTCTAAGTACAAGATCCATAGAGGCTGGGGTCTATCACACCAGGCAAGACCCCAGGTGCAGGCTGTGTAAAGATGCCCCTGAGACAATCCAGCACATAACAGCAGAGTGCAAGATGCTAGCAGGCAGGGCATACATGGAACGCCATAACCAAGTGGCCAGCATATTATACAGAAACATCTGTGCCGAATATGGCCTGGAAGTTCCAAGGTTAAAATGGGAGACGCCCCCAAGGGTGGTGGAGAATGACCGAGCTAAGATCCTGTGGGCCTTCCAGATACAGACGGACAAAATGGAGGGTCCAAGGGATTCATCCAGCCTGCAGCGCCACCACCTGTGGCTTCCACCCTGTCACCTGCAGTGCCACTGCCTGCGGCTTCTACGCCGTCACCTGCAGTGCCACTGCCTGTGGCTTCTACGCCGTCGCCTGCAGCACCACCGCCTGCAGCACCACCGCCTGCAGCACCACCGCCTGCAGCTTCCATGTCGTCACCTGCAGCGCCACTGTCTGGTCCTACCTCGTCTGGTCCTGCCTCGTCTGGTCTTGCCTTGTCTGGTCCTGCCTTGTCTGGTCCACAACCTGCTCGAACGGCACATCCATGTCCAGCACGCCCGGCTCTCCTATGGCCGCCACCGCAACATCGCTGGCCACTTTCTGGGCCACTGGCCGGACATCATCACCGTTGTGGATGGCCTCCTTAACTGCGTCGCTGGCCTCCGGATCTGCTTCGCCTGCATCACCTCCACTGCATTCTGAACACCTGTACTGTTTACCTCCGGGTTGGCCTCCTGAACTGAACTTTTTCGGACTCCTGTAGTATCGGCCCCCTGGCCGACCTCCTGAACTATTTGTGTACTGTTCCTTGGCTCCATTTTCTTTCATGACCTTTTGGTTTTGGACTCTCGTGTTTTGTTTTGGGACCTTTGGGGCTCCTGTTTTGTTTCTTTAGACATGAGTTTCGAGTTTTTGTCAGTTCTGTTCTCGCCACCATCGTGTTTTGTTGTATGTCATCCTCCTCAATAAAACTCACTCACATCAGCAGTGCCTGCATCTTGGGTCCTTTAATAATTCCCACATGGCTTGCCTTGCAAACCGTGACAGATACTTTGTTACCAAGAAACTGAATGACTGTCAGAGAAACGAAAGAAAAACTAGATTAAAACCAATGATGCCTATCAAATTCTTTTCATGACAAAGATGTTTGCCAAGACATGCCATGACTCCAGTGAAACAGGACACACCCACATGTTTTGCTTTTGACTTTCAAGTCCTGCCCTTCTGAGCAGTGAATCCAGTAAAGGGGAAGTGGAAAGTTTTAGGCTGACTTGACAACTGATTAAAATGATTATAAAACTAGTAATCAAATTATTCCTTGTTGGAACAGTCACTGTTTTGCTCTTTAGAAGTACACTTTATAACTTCTTCAAAGAAAGTGTCTTAAATTACAATAAATGCAAATCATAAGGGTAGGCTTGGCAGGAAATTCCCTTGTGACAGTGCCAGGGCAGGGTTTGTGAAAGAGAAACTAAAGACGCGAAATAAAAACACAGAACCAAAATAGAGACAGCAGATCCCCTGAGGCATCTTGACAAACATACATCATCTGCAATTTTTCTCATCATCTCAACAGGTCAGTATTAGATTTAAATAAAACTGCATTAAATATAAGTAAAAGAACGTATTTTCTGCTCCTTCCTTGTCATAAAGGGTCACCACAACATATTATCTGTACATGTTTGATTTTTTTACACTGACTTTGTGTGTGTGTTGGATCGTGATTCTCAGTGTAATACAGTGGAGAGAATAAATGCGGTTGCTTGGAAATTTGTAAACAATGTATTTTTATTTTCAAAGTAACAATCTCAACATATTTTACCTCTGTTTTGACCAGTGTCTTTTTCAAACACCTTTAAAAATGGATGGTGATGAAGAACTTCTACTGAGTAGTGTAGTGTGCACTGTGTAATACAATGTGCTTGAAAATTTGTATAAATTGTGCCTTACTTCAAAGAAAGAATATAAAAATATTTTTACTCTATTTTAACCAGAATATTGATATTCATTTAAAGTAAGAAAAGTAAGATACAGTAAAGGCATGGCAGGGAATCCCCTTGTAGTGGTGCGTGTAGAAGGTTAGTAAAAGCGAAACTGAAACAAAGCAATTTTCAAATATCGTTAGATGGTGTTTGTCAGTGTAACAATACAGTCGAGAGAAAAAATGCAGCTTGCTTGGAAATCTTTATAAATTGTGTCTTACTCAAAGAACCAATCTCTAAATAATGTTTAAATCTGCTTTGAACAGATTTTTCTTATCTGATTAAGAAAATGGATGATGATAAAGAAATTCTCCTCAAGAAGCTGAACGGACTGGTTACAAATATCAAATGGAGCCCAAAGAATGTCACTGACTTGTTTGATGCTCTTTTGAAGCGATTTGAGTCAACAACAAATAACAACTCCCATTTCCTCACATGGATGATAAAAATGTTGCACTGCATAGAGATTTACTTTATTACTTCTGACTGGAAGGATGCAGATGGAAAAACACTTCTGGAACTACTTAGAGACAAAACTGTAACAGATGAAACCTTGAAGGAATATTTAGCCAATGACAGAGAGAAGACCTTGGAGGAAATCATTGATGAAATCCGCCAAGAGAAGTTAAACCAGGTTGATGTAAAGATTTTAGATGATATCAGAGATATTGTATCAACAGTTCATCAAGACTGTGATATTAAAAATTACAGCTTAAAGAAGAGTGAACTGAAATCAATCTTAAAAAATCTGCTTTTGCAAATGGAAAAAAAATCAACTGTTGTTTCAGGACCTAAAATCATGCTTAATTTTTGTAATGACAGCTCACCAAATAGTCATTTGAAAGACATCTTAAAGATTCTCTGTTTGGCAGTGAGTATAACAAAAACTAAAAATACAAGAAAGCCATTTCGGCCACGACTGACACAGATGGTGAGCTGGTGTCTGATGGCTCTTTCAGAAACAGGGCGATTGATTCAGGTTGGCACAGGAGAGGGGAAGTCTTGCATAGTGGCCATGTTTGCAGCTTTTCGAGCTCTGAAAAAAGAAAACGTCGACATCATGTCGAGTTCATCAGTTCTTGCAGAGAGAGATTTTAAAGAATGGGAAGGATTTTATAAAGAGTTGAATATCACTGCTGATTATAACTGCAACAGGCCTGATGTAGAA